TAAATTATTTGTTTTATATACTTTTGTATTCTATTGGCCAGTATTTTGTTAGGGATTTTTACATCGATGTTCATTAGGGATATTGGTCTGTAGTTCTTGATTCTTGTGGGATTTTTGCCCAGTTTTGGGATCAGAGTTTTTTTTTTTTATTTTTTTTTGGGGGGGGATCAGAGTTATACTAGCTTCATAGAAGAAGTTTGGCAGTTTGCTGTCTTTTTCTATGTTCTGGAAGAATTTGTGTAGGATTGGTGTCAGTTCTTCCCTGAATGCTTATTACAATTCTCCTGTGAAACCGTCTGCTATGGGTGATTTTTTTGTTGGTAATCCCTTGATAACCTTGTCTATTTCTTCTATTGCTATGCATCTGTTGAGATTCTTGACATCCAACTGGGATAGTCTGGGGAGGGATTGTTTTTACCAAGAATTTGTCCATGTCTTCCAAGTTGTTGAATTCATTGGAGTACAGTCCTTCATAGTACTTTGTAATTATCCTTTTGATTTCATTAGGGTCTGTTGTAATGTCCTCTCTTTCATCACTCATCCTTGCTATTGAAATTTGCTCCCTCCTTTCTTTGGTTAGGTTTGCCAGTGTTTATCCTTTAAAAAACAAACTTTTAGCAGAATTATTTTTTTCCATTGTATTCTTATTTTCCCTCTCCTGAATGTCAACCCTGATCTTTATTATTTCTTTTCTTTTGCTATTAGTAGGCTTGTTCTGTTGACTCTGCTCTAATTGATGTAAGTTTTGTGCCAGCATATCAATAATAAGTCTTTATTTCTTTTTCATGTGTGAATTTATTACTATGAAACTTCCTCTGATAACTGCCTTTGCTGGGTCCCATAAGTTCTTGTATGTCGTGTTCTCATTTTTATTGGTTTCTAGAAATTTCTAATTTCATTTCCAGTACACACTCCTTTTGGCAATAGAGTTATTCATCCTCCAATTGTTTGGCCTTGTTTTCTTCATCTTCCTTTTGTTTATTTCCAGCCTTATGGCACAGTGGTTAGAGAGATGTCTGTATGATATCAATGTGCTTAAATTTATGCAGATTCACCTTATGCTCCAGCACGTGGTCTGTCTTTGAATATGTGGCAAGTGGGCTTGAAAAGACTGAACTTTTTTGTATTTGGATGAAGAGCTTTGTAAATATCTATCATGTCAAATTGTCTAGTTGTAGTGTTTAAATTAAGGTGACCAGATTTTAACATTGGTAAAGTGGGACAAAAGTGGGACACCATTGATAAAACTCATATTCTGGTGAAATAGCCTCATGGCAGCCGAAAACCATATACCCTAGCTTGTTGTGCATTCTTTCCAAAAATCGGCACTTTTTAAAAACGCCGCGGGACGCAGGAAAAATTGTTAAAAATTAGGATTGTCCTGTCAAATGTGGGACGTCTGGTCACCTTAGTTTAAATCTCTAGCCTCCTTGCTACGTTTCTTTCCCTGTGATCTTTCTTTCTCAGAGAGCGGTGTATTGAAGTCACCTACTATAATTCTTGGGGCTGTGATTTCTTTTTCCATCTTTTGGAGCTTTTGGTTGACGTATTCAGAGGGTTTCTCATTCGGGGAATATATGTTTATAATGCTTAGTAGTTCTTTGTCTACCATTTCTTTGAGCATTATACAGTGTTCCTCTGTATCTCTTTTTATGGTTTGCACTTTGAAGTCAATTTTATCCAAGATTAGGATCTCAACCTCTGCTTTTTTTGAATTGCTGTTTGCTTGGTATACTTTTCTCCAGCCTTTGATTCTCAGCCTATTTTTGTCTGTAGTCTTGAGATGTGTCTCTTGCAAGCAGCAGATTGATGGATTGTGTTTCTAAGCGAGGTCTGCTAGCCTCAATCTTTTAATGTCTGAGTTCAGTCCATTGATATTGAGGGTTATTATCTCCATCTGTGGACTCAGTGATGCCATCTTATACCTTTTGTGTTGGGTGTTTTCCTACCTCCCTTTCTTATCAGTGTGTTGTGCGTGCACACGCGTGTGTGTGTTTCCTTTTTGACTTATTTCCACACTTAAGCCAATGCTATCTTGGGGTCTATTTTCTCTTTGTTGCCCTCTGGGTGAGGTTGTTCTAGGTGGCAGTCTAAATTTATGCTTGGTGAGTGCTGTTCTTCTTCCCATATTGGGTCGGCAAGGATCTTTTGTAGGCCTGGGTTTCATCTAACATATTCGTTGAGTTTTTCCTTGTCTGTGAAGACTCTTACTTCTCCATCTATCTTGCTAGATAATTTGGGTGGTTATAGTATTCTTGGGTTTGTGCTATTTTCCTTCAATTTATGGAATATGTTACATCACTCTCTCCTCTTCTTCATAGTGTCTACTGATAGATCTGAGTGTATTCTTATTTGGGAACCTTTATATGTGATTGCTTGTTTTTCCCCAGCTGCTCTCATGAATTTCTCCTTTTCTTCAAAGCTGGATAGTTTAACTATTATGTGACTTGGTGACTTCTTCTTGGGACTCAGTCTAGCTAGTGTTCTTTCAGCTTCCTGAATGGTTGCCTGGTTTTCATTAAGTTGGGGAAGTTTTCCTCTACAAATTCTCAGATTACTGTTGCAGATGACTTCTTTGTTGTGTCCTCCTCCAGTAATCCAATTATTCTGATGTTATTCTTATTCATAGCATCAGACATAGCTCTTAGGTTTTCTTCAGATTCTCTGATGATTTTATTAGGTTTTTGTTCTCATTTGTTAAAGTCAGCTTAGCTGTCCTCTAGGTCACTGCTGCAGTTCTCTGCCTCCTCCAGTTGATTGGTGAAGTCCGTGAGTTTGCTACTGGTTTTTGGTATCTCTTCCCTAAGCTCTTGCATTTTCTTTTGGTGTAAAGTCTTTATCTCCTCTATCCCTTCATCCTTTTTTCTGTGTTGTTTCCCTCATATCCTGTATGACTCCAAGCAGCATTTGGAAAATGTCTTTCTGTGGCAGATCAATGTCTGCTTCTTCTATGCACATTGTTAAGTTCAGGATATCTTCTGTCATTGCCTTTTGTTTCTCCTGTTATTTCATTGAGGTTGTTGGGGCTGTTTGCTGTTTGCGTTATGTTGTTTTAAAGGGAACCTGTTGCCATTTTCCAGGGAATGGAAGAGCACTGACTCTGGGAGACTCATAGGAATTCTCTTTGAACTGCCTGTAGCTAATTTCACTATGGAATTGGCCTACCACTGTATCCTCCCATGTCTTCACTCTTTCTCTAGTCAACCATTATTTTTTTACTTGGAGGGCAAGTTGGATGGTCCTCTCAGGGGATACTGGTTGGGTGTTTTGGGGCCCACGAGGATGGTGCTGTACTCGGTGATCATACAGAAAGCCGTGATGGTGTGGCCCACATCAGCTGGGGCACCGCAGAAGGCGTGCGGAGGTGCCTGCTGCCATGGGAGTGCCACATAAGGCTGGTGGGTTGCCCACTTTAGTGCAGTGCACTGTGAATGGTGGGTGGAATTTCCCTGGTCAGGTAGATTGCTGTGGAGGTTGGGCAGAGGTTCCTGCAGCAGCATGAAATGTTGGTGAGTGTTTGCTGAGCTGCTTTAGGCTGTGTGAGGCACTACGGCAGGCGGGAGGAAGTTCCCTCAGTCACATAGAGCCACAGAGGACTGGTGGGTGCTCCCAGAGCCACACAGGCAGGATTTCCCCCAAAGAAGGTGTGTGGGATTTCCCCAGCCACGTGTTAAGCACTGCAGAGGGTGGATGGGAGGAATTTCCCCCAGAGCAACGTGAGCAGGATTTCTCCCAATAGTAGGTGGGCATGATATATCCTCTGGTAGAGGATGGGATGGCTTTCCCCAGCCTCAGGTTATGCTGCAGAGAATGGAGATCTCCCAGATGCGTGGAGGGCAGGCATAAATGCCCTAGGCTAAGGGGAGTGTTCTAGTGATTGCCTGTGGTGTGTGAGAGAAAGGGGAAGTGGAAAAAAAAAGAGAAAAAAAACTAAGCCAGCTGAGACTGCAGAGGGACAGAGAAGAGAAGGAAACAAAGTAACAATATAGCTGAGCTCTGATCCCTGACCATGGGGCTGGAGGGGTTTAAACACTGACCCAAGGTAACCCTGCCCTGAGGTGTCTGAAACTGGTGGGAGAGAGAGAGAAGAGAGAGAAACCAAAGTAACAATATAGCTGAGCCCCATCCCTGAGGGTTTAAGCCCTGGCCCAAGGCAGCAAAAAGCTGTGGCTGTGTTGAGATAAAGTCCCTGTGCCAGCTCCATATGTTCCTGGCTTTGGCCGAGAGAGTGGCAGGGCTATCGTCAAACCTTAGCTGGCCTCCACTGAGGTAAGCCAAAAGCCCCAGCTCTTCAAAACCTAGTGGATCTGTGCCTACTTATCTTTATGATGCTCCTCCTGTGACCAAGTTGTGTAGAATTTCCTTCTTAGTAATTCTCCTGTGCTGATTTCTGTGTGGTCTCTGTGGTATGTGTTACTCAGTCAGCATCTTCCCAGAAGTCCAGTACCTTGTAATTTAATCCAGTGTGAATCTATTCTACATGCTCACTCTTAGACTGAGGTCTTGAACTGTTTTATTTGGTCATTGTACTGAGGCCCTTCTTGGTTGTCTGCCACTGTCTTGTAGGTCAATCTACATAGGGAAACCTGGATGAGTGGAATTCTGAAGACAGTAGCTGGATTAATGACTACTTGGGCTCAGAAGGGGAGGGTGGGGGAAATGGGGTGTCAACATCAGTGGTTAAAAGAAAGAAGAAAAATACCCTAAATTGATTGTGGCAATAATTATGCAGCCCTTCTTGATATGATTGAAGTACTGAATTGTATAATATGTTCATTATAGCTAAATAAAATTTAAAGTAAACAAATGAAAGAAAGGTGACTAATAGATTTTGTTTCAATATTGAAATGATGCACATTTGGTTTTATTTCATTTTATGGAATGAGACATTTCATTCATTTGAATGATGGTTTCTTTAAATACCATTATCCATGAAGTCATTTAATTATTGAATATTTTAAGTTTCCTCCACTTAAAAATAATTTTTATTAATTTTATAGATCTCTGACGGAAGAGAACAGCAGTAGCAGCAAGTTATCCCTCAGTACAAGGTGAGCATCAAATATCTTACTGTCAGGAAGAACAATGAGATTAATAATTTTGCAATTGGATGTCTTTGAATTTATCTGGAAGCAGTTAACAGTTTTCAGTTTAGAACAAAAATGTTCCCCATAATTGTAGGCATACCTACAATAATAAATAATAAAACTTGACTTTATAGGGTTTCACCCTCTTCTCTATAACCTATCCTGAAAGAAGCCTTTTTGTGTGCCCATGCTAGCATCTATGAACACCTAAGTCGAAGGAATTTTTTTAAAACACTGCAAAGAAGTATTGATCATTTTACTATCTGTTATTGTCAGGTAAATTCAGGAGGAGAAAAATTCACTGTCATCACTAACCTGATTCCTGTGAAGTGAAGATCAGACATACATCCATACTCTCCAACTTTTTCAAGGTTTCTAACACCAGTCATCCTCATCATTGCACTACTTATTTTGATATGTTCCACATAGAGCACAGAAACTATACCTACGATTATGTAGCTTATCAGGGAGTAACAGGCTACAACTTACTGTCAAGATCAACTGACAAGTAAGAGAATATTATTTAAGAGACAAGACAGTTTTTTCTGCCTGGATATTTTCCAACCAAGACAGCTCTCTTAGTTTGTTCTTGACCATGTCTGCCCTCCAGACCCTCTCTCAGGACTACTGCCACCAGGCTCAGAAGTGTCATATAGGCACCTTATTTAAAAAAAACAACAAAACTTTTATTGGTGGCTCTTACATCTCTTATCACAATCCATACATTTCTCCAGTGTGTCAATCAAATTTGCACATATGCCACCATCATCATTTTCAAAGCACTCTCTTTTCACTTGAGCCCCTGATATCAGCTTCTCATTTCTCCCACCTCCCTCCCTCACTGGTCCTCCCTCATGTGCCCTTGATAAGTTATAGATTATTATTTTCATAGCTTAAATTATCTTCCATTGCCCTTCACCCACTTTTTCATTATTTGTCTTCCTGGGAGGGGGTTATAGATTGATCCTTGTGATTTATTCCCCCTTCCTCCCCCCACCCTCCCCTAATCTTCCTGGTATCTCTACTCTCATTGTTGGCCCTGAGGGGTTTATCTATTGTGGTTTCCCTCTGTTGTGTGGCCTCTTATCTGTAGCATTGTGCATGCTTTGGTCTAATCTGATTTGTAAGGTAGAATTGAGGTCATGATAGTGGGGGGAAGGAAGCACCAAGGAACTAGAGGAAAGTTGTGTGTTTCATCGGTGCTATTCTGTACTCTGACTGGCTCATCTCTTCCCTGTGGCCTCTCTGTGAGGGGATTTCCAATTGTCTACAGATGGGCATTGGGTCTCCACTCCATGCTCCCTCCCACACCCTCCAATTCACCTTGGGTATGATTTTGTTCTGGGTCTTAGATCCCTGATACCTAATCCCACTGACACCTCATGATCACACAGGCTGGTGTGCTTCTTCCATATGGGCTTTGTTGTTTCTCAGCTAGATGGCCAATTGTTTATCTTCAAGCCTTTAAAACCCCAGACTCTATATCTTTTGATAACCAGGCACCATCAGCTTTCTTCACCACATTTGCTTATGCACCCACTTTGTCTTCAGCAATTGTGTTGGGAAGTTGAGCATCACAGAATTCAAATTGTTAGAACAAAATGTTCTTGTGTTGATGGAGTACTTGAGACGAGGCCCAATGTTCATCTGCAACCTTAATTCCTAGCATATAGATATGAGTACATAGCTCTGTTCCCCATATATATATATACATGCCTGTATTTAGGCCTCTATAAATTTCCTTTGCCTTCTAGTTCTTTCCTCTATTTCCTCTATTTCCTTTTACTTTCCTCTTGTCCCACCAATATGTTCAGCTTTCATTCGGGTTTAGTAATTCCTCGCTGCTACATTGCCCTTGATTAAGCCCCACTAGGCATCCTATGACCTTCCTTCCGTTGATTTTAGTTCACTTGTTGTTTCCTTGTCCCTGGGTTGGTTCCCCCCACCCCTTTCTTTCTCCCACCTCCCCCCAGATCCATTGGTCCCGTTTTTTCATCTCTGAATTATTTAACCCACCTATCTTATCTAGATATACATGCAGATACACTAATAAGTGTAAAAACCAAGCAAAACCATATAAAACCACAAAGGAAGCAAAAACCAATACAACAAAAAACAACAACCAAAACCAAAACCAAAATTACAGCAAAAAGGAAGCCACTGACAAAAATGGAAAGGCCTATAAATAGTTCAAGGTCTATTTGTTGGCCTTTATGAGTGTTTACCAGTAGAGTCTGATGGGGTGCAACACTTTGTCTCCAAAGTCTATTTTTTGTATTCTCCTGGGGGTTCATCGCTTTGCTTCCCCTGCTGCTCTGCTGCATGTTTTTAGTTCCTCACCCCAGCATGATGGGACCAGACTGTGCACTGTTCCTGCACTGTGTCTCCAGTACCATGGTTCATTGAGGGACACCATACTCTGTAGTAGGGGAGGCACCCTATTCTTTTGGAAAATCTTCTATCCAAAGGAACACAGCTATCTGTCTCCATGAACTGGCAATACACCATTCAGTAGTTTGGTTCCTTCCATTCATGCAGTTGCTAATTGTGCTTTTGGCACACTGTCATGTGCCATAGTGTCTCTCTGTCTTCAATGGTGTAGGTTATTCTCTTCTCTCTAGGACTTTCTCAGGACAGAGACCTTGGGTTCAAATGACACACTTGGTTAGTCCCAAGTTTTTATTCTTTTTCTCAACTTTTTATAGTGAATTGATTAAAGGCTTACAGAACAGATCATGAATTTTGCATTTAATAATTTTTTTATGTCTTTTGGTAAATATTGCCCCATAATCCTAAATGGTCAATATTGGTATTGATCTGCATATAGAGCTGTCTATTGTTTAACTCGAGTGAGTCTTTCATATATTTGTATGTGTCTTTACTGATATATTTATATATATACTTTGTACCTGTCATCAAGAAAGATCAATCTCTAGAAAGGGACATCATGCTTTGTCAAGACAGAGGGTCAGACATGAAGGAAGCCCTCAATGAGATGGATTGATACAATAGCCACCACAATGGATCAAATATAGCAAAGTGCATGGAGATGGCACAGGACCAAACAAGCAATATTTTATGCCCGTATATATCAGCTTTCCATGAATATATATATATATATATATATATATATTCACATATAAATATATATATATATATTCACATATAATATATATATATATTCACATATAATTATATATATATTCACATATAATTATATATATTCACATATAATCATATATATATTCACATATAATTATATATATATATTCACATATAATTATATATATATTCACATATAATTATATACCCAATGAATATACAATAACTCAACATATCAAATACAGAATATAGTATTTTAAGAAGATCTAAATCAATGTAGAATCGTATGTTCAATATTTTTAAGTTATAAATTCTTCCTAAGTTAGTGTATGTATATACACAATGTAAACCTAAAATTCTAAGTTCAACTTTTTTCTCATTGAAAAATTGCAATCTGAATATAAAATTCAAATGGAAATGGAATAGTCAAGATAACCTAGAAGATAATAGAGTAAGTTCAGAAAAGTTTCACTACAAGCTATCAACATTTTTCATGAAATAATTAAGATGATCTAGGATCTTCAAAATGACAAGTAGACCAATGAAACAGAATAGAAGGGAATTCAGGACAAGATGGATGATTAAACAAACATCCACACAAGTAGACCCCCTTCAGCAACCAGAAAAAAATTGGCACAAGAGAAATACCAGGTGGCCTGTGGTCTCAGAAAAAGGTTAGAAAACGAAGTAAACCAAAACCATATTGCAGAGATTGCAAGTAGAGAAGGGAGGTGTGTGAGATGGGACAGACCCACTCTAAAGCATCCAGTGTTCTTACTCCATCTATTGGGCTCTGGCCATTGGCAAGGCTCCAGGTGGTTAGATCCTAGCATCCATTGTTAGGTCCTGTGTGTCTCTGCACTGTGGACCTGAGGGAAGAATTCATCCAAACACCCTCTCCCCCATTTCTTTTCCTCTCTTTTTAAAATAATTACTTTCCCCCTTTTCCTTTACTTTTATCAGATTCATATTTTTTTCTTTTCTATTTTGCTTAGATTGCCTTTCAATTTTTCTTTCTCTTTTGTCTTCATTCTCCCTCTTCCTCCATATATTTTGAAATTTATTTGAAATTCTTTTTTGTTACCGCTCGACAGATATGACTAACCCCACAAGACACAGCAACCCTTCTAACTCTAACAGGTACATCATGCTGCCTTGAAGACAGTTGTCAGTCTCAGTGCACATGAGAAAACAAGAAGTGAAAAACCACCGCATCCACAGGAATTTTTCAATGAAGGCTCTGAACCTACCAGAAAGAATGTTGTTCATGTACTTTCAACAATGAGTACCTGAGAACTAAAGAGAGAATGATAATCAAAACTAGAATTTCCGCAGCACAAAAACCCAATAGAATTCCATAAGGTGAATAACAAGGTCTCAGAATTATACATTAACACAGAATAATATAATGAAGGTATATGAAAGTTGAAGTAGTAAGCTTGAAGATAAACCCTTTCATTCCAATCTATGAGAAGAAGAGTCAATAAAGGGAGCAAAGGCACCCGAAGAAAGCCTAAGAACCCTTTGGGACACTCTCAAGAGGAAGAACTTACATCTCATTGGGATTCCAGAACAGAAACAAACGAAAACCTCAGAGAAATTAATAGAGTTACGTTTGGAATAAACTTTCCTTACCAGCATGAAAGAGGAGACAATATCTGGGAAACCAGACAATATCTAGAACCCTAAGCAGTATAGACACCAAAGGAAAAACAACACATCAGTCAAATATTCTAATATCAAGAAAAGGAGAGAATCATGACAGCAGCTAAGGAAACAAAACCAAAAACCAGTCACTTACAAAGGAAAATCAATATGCATAAGCTCGGATCTCTCACCAGGAAGAGAATTGTTAGGTGCCA